ATCAAAATAACAAGGACAAAGCGAGCTAATTGTGGACCTGGTAGTGTGTCGTTTTGCGGCACGAATGCTTTAGCAGCGGCGCACCAGTCTTGTGAAGTTCCCATCATCTGTGCTGTCAAGTTTCCATCCCCCCGATTGACGTATTGGAAGGGGCCATTTACTTGACGACATGTGGGAGGTGCCTGCTTACAAGAGCGGTAAGCTTCTGAAGCCGACTACGGTGCTACTAACAGGCTTACACTGCGTCCCTGATGTTGCCGTGACGCGGAAATCTCACAAGGCAATGACTAAAGGTGGGACACGTTGTGACTTGTTTTGCTGTTGTAGTGAGCGATGACTGAAGGTGGATGTGGGAACTGCTTTCTTTGAATTCACTTTGTGGATTTCAAGATGTGGCGATGTGTGTGCCTGTGTGATGCGTGCCGGTGTAGAGAAATTAAGTGATTTTGGTGACGTTTGCGTGCTCTAGCAAGGTTTTGGTATGTGATGCTTTTTCTGACTTAAATCGAGTCAACGCTTGGTCTGTGTAGCGTGCAGGCTGCATCGACGAAGTGGACAATGTCGAATCTGGAAGGTGTAGGTGCGCAGAAGAGATCTCCCATTGCTTGCAACTCGAACCCCATCAGGCAAGTCTCTTATGTTTGGATTGTGACCTTAATAATGCGAACCGTGCAGACTCTTGGTATACAGGTGTAATCTTTTATTTTACGCGCTAAACCCAGTGGCAAGAGGAACAACTGCCAGGCAAGCTTTTGCCTTTAATTATTGCTACCACTGTACACTCGAGAGATTGGGCTTTGTAGATACACGGTCACGGCAGGATTTGCTGTTCTTGAAAATTCCTTTAGCAATTTTGTCTCGTTATCGTTGGCCCTGTACGTGGAAGTATTTTGCGTGTATGTATTGGTGTGAATGGTGGCAAGTCGATGGTTGGCGTGGTGTAAATCATGGATCCACATTCATGACATTTGATATCTTACTGTGTTTTTTCTCCGGGCCTCGGACATTTTTTTATTTTTGCGGTGCGTGGTGATTTTCTCGATTTTGCTGTTTTAAATACTTTCGGTGGATTGTGCTGCTATTTGGCGCCTTTGGATTAGTGGTGCGTGGATATGTGGAGGTGTCGAAACGTCGAGTCAGCA